CGACAATACGGGGTACTGGACCTTGGTACCACGATGAGGTGGCCGGCATCACCAAGGAAACAACCAGATAAAAGCTGAGATCAATCAGATGCAGACGTGGTTTACCCAAAAAGAAAAACCCACGGGACACCTGGCGCAGCGGGCTGCAACAGGGGGTGAAAAAGACTTTGTTCCACCTGATGTTCACACCGCGACACATACTGCCAAGATGGGCGGGCAGGCTGGACGGCCATTTGATGAATTGGGGGGTCAACCCCAGGTGGGGTTGCGAGAAATTCAAGAGCTGAGAAATAAGTTTGTGGAAAAGGGTTTTCGTCCGGAAGAAAACATCCGGACTTTTGAAGGTGCCTTGGAGTATTTATTTGGGGCATCACCAGAACAGCCGCTGGCGGCATATCGTGTTCTTTTCCCTTCCCCATGAAGCCTGGATTTGATCTCTGCGAGGAATGGGACAATTTTTTTGGCATGGACCTATGCCATCCGCTACGAGGGCATGTCGGCTGAACAATCACAATTGGGCAGACGTTTGTATTATCAGCTTCGGGTAGCTCAGGCGGCGAAGGAAAACCCCGGAGTCAGCATCCAAATCCTTGCCAACGCCATCAGCGATCCCAGAAAAGAAGAAGACCCGGTTTTTAAGGCGGTCCAAAAAGCGAAAAAGCACCCCGCTCCTCCTCCAAGCTTTGCGCGTTGTTTTCGATACGGTCGCACAGGGCATTACAGCACAACATGCTATGCGCAGGTGAATAAGGCGCCGCTTAAGCCAAAAAACAATTATCTGCCCCGGAAGCAATGAACTTCGAGGCCGGGAAAGCATTGGAATCCTTACCGAGTGGCCGGGGTGCTGCCGGGTTTCCGGGAAACGGGCAATTCTCCGCGGGAAGGGGCCAGCACACCATCCCTTCAGGCCGGGCCCCGCGGGCGCCCCTCACTTGGGAGGGATCAGTTGGCACAGGTTCTTCCGCCTTTAAAAACCTCAGCAAACGAGGTTACAGTTATTGCGGCACCGCCAAACGACCCATATGTCACAGCGCTGGCGTCCGAAGCGAATCGCATAGCCAAGGGTATATAGACCCATTCGACTTGGGAACAAGAATGTTCAAAATGCAAAGATTCTGCGACTTCGCGAAAAGGAACAAATTAGAGGTTCGGGAGGAAAACGTTCCTCTTTTTTAGTAAGTTTGCACCTGACCAACAATAGCGCGGTGTAATATACAAGAACTTTGTTGACCTTACTGACCTCAGGAAGATCACCGGCTCAGATGTTTTTGACCGGTCTTCAACGAAATGCGGCTGCAAGCCCCATAAAACAGGCCTGCCCCATGGAGGGATAGGGGTTGGACCTTATCGGCGATTTGTCGACCTTGGAAAGCGATCGGGCAGCCCTATGACATGCCTAGGTCACAGCCAGTCGGTGGGGCGAAATCGCTCTACTCTAAAAGAAAAATTTTATTCCACACCCTCAAAACAAAGAAGCCCTCATTGTTGATTGAGGGGCCATCCAAAAGGCATTCAAAATCGACCCCCACTGAGCGGAACGATGCGCGTTTGTCAGGAAGGGTGGGGGAGGTGCAAAAAGGGTAAGAGGCGTCACCAAGGGAATGGTGGAGGGGGGACGGCTTACAACGTTAACGGCAAGAGGCATGGAAAATGCACCCCGACCATTCGGCATGACAGCGCATTCCATAAAGAAAGGGGAACTGGCGCATGCAGCCGTAGCGGTGATCGAACAAGATCTCGACCCTCGGCTGCTGGTTCGGCTGGGGAAACACACAGACCCTCCAGAGTTGCCGCACAGCACAGCTCGCTACATAGGGCCTTAGGTGGCCCTGGCAAACAAGTCGGCACACCTGGCGACATATGTTTGGACGGGGTCAGCAAATGGGGTCTGACTCCATGGGCCTATCCGGACAGCTGGGAGGATAAGGAAAAACTTTTTCAAGGTCACAGCATTTTGCGACGTACACATCGCACACGGATGGCCGATAAGAACGATGAAAGAAGGTTCCCGTTACAACAGGTAGATGTGGATACTCTCTCACTGCACTGGATCCGGAGCCAACGCGATTCCAAGGCTCTGGAACGGTTTAACACAGCGTTGGACGTGGCGCAACAGCCAGCCAATGTCAGGACAGGGGAACGAGAGCACCTATTGAGGGTGCTGGAAAGGGATGCCCAGGATATGAAGAAGGCTGGTATTATTCAAACGCACCAAAGCTACCCACTACCGGGTGGGTAGTGCCTTTTACGGTCGTGGAGTAAAAACCGTCGGGGCCGCGGCGGCGTTTCATTGCTTGGCCAAAAGCTAAAAATTGAACAAGAGGACCATAAGGCCATGGTTCCTCTGGGGCATATTTCCCGTTACCTGGGTGCGGTGTATGATGGTACAGCTGTCATTTTCGATCTAAAAGCATTTTTTTTTCCAGGCAAGCTTACCAGCCGAAACGCGCAGAAATTTCCGTTGTCGTACGGAAAATGGGGGCCTGGCAGAGTTCACACAGCTTCCCATGGGGTACAAATGTAGTCCGGAAATCGCGCATACTATCACAAGGGCTTTGGCGGGTGACCTTGAACCCGTTAAACCGCCTTCAGCAGCCCCGCCGGAGCTAACTCTACATGCGCGGATGGATAGCATTCGTAGCACAGGGCCGCGTAAAAGCGTAGAGTTTTGGAGGAGCATTATTGCGGAAGGCATGCGCGAATGCGGTGCGACGGTGGGAGAGGCACGAGCCCCCCACCGCGCGTTATGAATTCACAGGGGTTTGTTTCAACCATACGGCTAAGACAGCATCCCCCAGTGAGAAAACGTTGCGAAAATTGAAGAGTGTTACGCCCCTCCAAAACGTTTCGGTGGGGGAATTGGAATGCCTCACGCCACGTATGGTGTGCGCGGCGGGGTTTCAGGTGGGTTCGCTTTTTCGGCATTATTTCTTTTTGAAAATGGTGCGCCGAAGGCTGACGGGACTTAGCAGGGGGCTGGCGGACGCACAGGATCCGGCAGCCCCACCCCCTTTTGCCCTTAAGGTCGGGCAGGAATGGTTGGATACGTTGTTGCAGAAGAATCCGGTAAAACACCCGAGGAGTAAACCGACTTCAGGGACTTTAGCGGCCGGCCCTCTTTATGTGGATGGGGCGCGCTGTTGTTTAAGGGTGGCGTGGAAGTGTGGGCCGCAGGGGGTACATGGGAGCAGGCCCCCCATATTATTCCACAAGCTGAAGCCAGGGCCGTCGGATTGGCCCTGCTCGTTTTTGAAGGGGAATATGCCTATTACACTCCATATATGTATCGGCAGCACAGCAGTAATGCATATTATGAGGAAAGGCGACGCGCGTTCCGATGCGCTGGGTGGTGGGCTTGGCATATCGACAGGGCGCTGCGTGAACAAAGCCCAAACTTCACATGGGGCTTTGTCGTGTGGGCAATAATTCTGCGGATGGCATCCCGCCTGGGGTGAAAACTTTGCCGACGGACATCGCAAAGGGATGGAACTTGCGAAGGGAGCGCAGGAAGAGGGCTAAGGGCGTTTTTAGCACCTCATTTTCGTCAGTTAATTACAAGTTTTTTAACTTTTCTATAATTAGAATCGTTGAGTGTTACTGGAAGGCCCAAAGCCATGCAAACTAGAGGCATTCTTTTCGCGATAGGAAGTAGATACAAGGTCTCTCCCACTCCCCCCTTTACTTAATAGAGGAAGGTAAGGTATAGACTAATCCTTACCCGTACCCTTTCCAAATCCATCCGAAAAATGGTTTTGGAAGAGAAAATGCTCTCTTTAAGAAATAGTATTGCTCAGCATGTTGAAAATGAGAGAACACATTCAACCACAGGCACACATATAGAACCACAAACGGCCAAGGCACCACAACATACCGAAAGCGAAGCCCGCACCTGCTAGAAAACGCTGGCGAATGCAACCTTCACCAACTAACCAAACAAAATAAGACGGAGAATGGCACCGAGAAAAAAATTTGGGCACCCCACGGGCACCCATGTATAACTAGAAAGCGGGCGTCGCAGTGCGTATCTTTTGCCAGTTTTGGGGCCTCCTTACTGATGCAGGGTCTGTTCTACAACTGTTGTAATTGTACAACCCGTCCACATTCGGCATAAAAATTGCCCACAACTTTCCATTTTATTTCCGCGAAACACAACATTGTACCAACTATTTTAATAAGAAATCTCCCTATGGGTAAATTAAGCCCGGTGATCAAAAAAACTCCGACGCCAGATGTCTACAGGCGTCTCGGCTTGTTCTGTTTTCACCCTATTAAAACAGAACGGCCGACCCCCACCCTTAACTTACCACCCGAAAAATGTGTAGTTCTAACGTTTTTTTTAAGCAGCCGTCAGTTTAGTCAGCTTTAACTTTTTAAACCAGATGTCATGTTTTCGAAAGCATTGCTTCAGTTGACGGTGGGATTTTACGGCGCAGGCGTTGCTCCAATAAGCTCACACCACGCAAAGCAACATCAGCATAACCTGAAACTTTTTTGCTACACATTTCCTTCGTTTAACCTGCGCAAAAAACCCTTTCGTTGTTTATTTTTGGTGCGTTTACTCTCTTCAGAAATCTCAACCATAAGAACGTTCCGAGAACAACACCTGCACCCTGAGGTACTGCTTTCCAACAAACCGCATGCAACACACGATTCTAGAAGTTCTGGTCTCGTACTTTATATCCCCAAGAAACACATCAGCGGCTTTCAACCTGAAGCCGTGAACGGGGGAGAAATAAATTGCGCCTACGGTTTGGCGGAGCCACTCTAGAAATGCCAAACCGATTTGAAAGCGATGTGAAAGGAAAAACTCTGTTTCGGCGCCAAACAGACCACAGGCAGTTAAACGCAACCGGCCCCACTGAGAAGAAAACTCAACGCACCCCACTACCCATAAGACACACCACCAAACGAAAAAATATACACTTCCTCTTCTTTACAAAAAAATGTCTTTGGCCGCTGTTTGCTTTTTAATTGTTCTAAGTGCCCTCTGCAAAACGCAAAGAACCCTTACCGGCTTCGATAACACACATCTTGACATTTCCAGAACACTTAGTGTCATGCATAAGTGATTTAGATTGAAAAACTTGCCCCATAACAGCCACAATACCACAGGCCCAGCATCCACAAGCCAGAATGCCCTTAACGAAGCCTTTTGGGCTAGCACACTTCAAACAGAGGTTGTTTCACCGCAAAACATACCACAATCTTAAACATGAAAAAAAAACCTTTGAAAATGATGGCGCATTGATTCGACACTCGCTCTATCAAAAGTGATTTTTAAAAGCATGCCATATGGACTGCCAAGTTTAAGCGGCTGGTAAATTAGTATTAATCTTTTCACATTTATCTTTACACATCTCGTCGAAAAGGGTGGAGTTTAAAAAGCAAGTTTCATAAGACGCTGCTGGCAGATACGCCCATCAGATTCTGAAGCGGGATGGGGGACCAGCGTTGGGGTATTCAGGGCCTTTGTTCAGCGCGATGGCTTGGCGGTGTTTTGTGTTTTCTTTTTGGGGCCCCGCCCAGAGAGCCGCCCGCACCCAGGGCGACACATGGGCGGATTTTGGGCCCTTAAGGAATAGAGACTTATTTCACACCTCGATCAGACACAATGGCCATATTTCGCACACACACACACACACCCTGCGCTGAACAGCACCACATCCCTTACCATGCTGGGTCGCCTGGGTTTCCTCGGTGCTTTGGGTGGAGGCATGGCCCGCTCTCTGTCCAGAGCGGTCGGCGCTGGAAGAAAAGGGGCCGGCCTAGCACTATAGGTGTTTAGTTGAGGGGGAAACGTTTGTTGGATGAGGGTTTTAGGGGCGCCTCGAAAGCCTTTTGGTGTTCACAAAAGGTCCCGCAGTGGAAGTCCCTTTCGGTACGCCCTCCGGATGGGCAGGGGGTGAACCAAGTCCGGCCACGGCTTTAGGCCATATTATGCGGAGAAAGAAGCATCACACCAATGTGAAAAGCAGCTGGCCACAAATTGGGGCCCACAACAGCCAAGAGCCCATAGGACCGCCCTGCGAGTTGGAGATGCGCCTGGAAGAGGGCAATTCTTCGGCGGCGATGCCGTTATTGAGGCGTCTTCCGGTCACCCCGCCAGGTGAACTACCCGCGGCGCGCCAAGCCACCGCCGCCGCCACCCAACGCCAGCGACACTGCGCTCGGTGCGAAGAGCAAGGCGTGGGAGGATCCAGCACCACGGATTTATTTCATTTCGAGCGGAGGGCTTGCAGCCAGCCACCCTCACAGGGGGAGGCGGCCATAGACCCAATCGCGAACCATTCGGCCGGCACGAAACAGGCCCAGAGCGCGGATAAGGATACGAACGAAGCGGCCGTCAGATCCCCAAAAA